GATAAGTCGCTCTATGTCAAAAAGACCTCAGAAGACGGTTTTGCGGGTGCCAGAATCATCATAGGAGCGTGCCCTACACACAGTAGGTATTCACCAAGCATTCATTGAATGTTATTCAGTGGTAAAACTTTGAGATCCATCTTCTAACTCTACTTATGTAGAAAAGGGGGAATACTGACTTCAAGCTTGTGAGTAGTGAACAATTCCAGCTACTTAGTTTAGTTCAGTGCTCTGCTATGAGTTTGTTTTAGTGGTTTGGAATTGTGGAGAGGAGGCATGTGCTGTGGTTAGAGCCTAAATTATCATTGTTTTCTCCAAAATTTTATTAGAATTTTCAAATGCACAAAAAAATTGAGAGTCAAGTAAAGATCTCATTCATATATCTCTCAAATGGTAATGCTGTCTTGATCTCTTTATACTGGTCTCTGAGAGAAACACTGTAAACCCCTCACTTCACTGTTGACCATGGTGAACATCCTTCCTAATACACAAAATCTCAAAACAAAAGCAAACACACACCTGGGCTTGGAAAGTTTTAGCCATTAATTTAGCACAAGCCTTGCTGGTAATAAGTGGAACAACTGGAATTTGTTCTGTTTGACCCCCATATGTAAATTTTTTCCTTCACAAAGCAGTCCCTAAAATTCATTTCATTTGCTGGCTGGCATCACAGATTTTAGTCATATGTCTACAGAATGAGGAGCCTAGAAATAATCATTGTGGGACATAGATGGAATGTAGGCTGATATCCTTGGTGCTTCGAGCAGCTTGAGATAAACCAGCTTGAGTCCTTTCATAAATAACATGAATTGGAAGGGGGAGACTGTGGACAAATGAACTTGAAAACAAGCCCATTAAGCAACCTTCACTAGCGGTAGGGGAGTAAAAGCCTGTTCTCACATTCTTTGTACCCTCTCTCTGTTCTCACATTCTTCGTACCTTCTTTCCCTTTTGCCAGCCCCCACACTCTCCTGGTTGATTTTCATCTCTGCAAGCCTCTACACCTCATCCTCACTTTCTGTTTTATCATTTTAGTCCTCCTCACTGAACCCTCAGATCAGCCACAATCTCTCCCTACTCTGAGCTTCCAGAGTTCCCTACCCCTCGGAGGCCATGTGGCTTAGTGATTATAGATTTCAGCTCTGAAGGGAGCCTTTCCCTCTTTCTAGGTATCTGACCTTGGCTGTGCTTCAAACTGCCCTTCTGTCAGAGGATATATCAACCATCATTCTTCTGGAGAACAGAATTCAGTCTTTCCAATTAAAGCAGAATGTTTTTTGTCTTTGTTTTTTATCTGTTTGCTTGTTTATTTGTTTGTTTGTGAAAGGGTCTCCCTGTAACCCCAGCTAGCTTGGAACTCACTACATAGACCAGGCTGTCCTTGATCTCACAGAGATCCATCTACCTCTGCCTCTGAGCGCTGGTATTAAAGGTGTATGCTACCACATCCAGCATTAAAGCAGAATGTGGTGTTGTAGGGTATTAAATAACGAAAATTTGAAGTTCCAAAGAAAAAGAGTGTGATAAGCATTCTGAAGGGGTCCAATTCTACTTTGAAGAAACATGTCACCACAGGAACTGCTGGTTCTTCCCAAACCAGGAAGTAATCTGAGGATTACAAAAGAAAAATGAAAGAAGGGCTACAAGGACCATGCCCACCTTCTCTGATCGCCAGTAAAATGAATGCCCCATACTTGATGCCCACAAAGGTAGCAACTGGCTAGCAGCTATATTGCTCTGTGGCCATTTTTACAAACAATGAAAGCAAAGTGTGGCCTCTACCTCACTTCCTCCTTCCAGAGCTTATGGCAGTGTTTCACAGGAGCCAAATCTCAGCTAGATCCAATATCTTAGCTGCAAAGGAGTCAGGAAAATGTAATTTTAAGGTTTGAGGACTTTGTAAAGTTAGGAGGCACTGGTTGGGATGAAAGTTGAGTGTTATTCCATCATCTATACAAGAATAAGCGATACGTCATTTGTCAATAATTATAGTAAGTAATAAAGTACTTACAGTAGTGCCTGTCTGCACATGACTCTAAATGCAGCTATCATTTAGTCAGATTGTCAGATGGTGGTCTTGGAAAAGACAAATAGCCTTAGCTAGATCTCCAAATTTCCCACCCGATAATAAGCAACTTTAATGAGTCTATGTAATACAGAAGAGCACCAGTTTATTATTGCAAGTTTTAGATAATAATCATGCTCCATCTTAGAGAGCTTCTGTTCAGATTATGTGCAAAAGATGATATGGAAAGTGTAATCAATATTCTAGAGGCTTTGGTGTTAAATGGATACTAGGTGAGCTGAAATCTGTGCTCTAGTTCCAGTCCTGCCCCTGAGAACTGCAGTCTGCTGTCATCTTATTCACCTGCCCATTTTGCTCCTGTTCAATTCCAGAACTCACCAGGGTAGTAGGCAAAGACCTTCACCATAGCCCCATGAAGAATGAAAGACTGTCTGCTCTTGAACTGCCATCTCTGTCTCCTTAAAGGGGAAAACTTAGGCCTCACCCAGCTCTTCAAAGCCCCTGCCCCTGAGTTCCTTCCAGAAACACCTCTGTCCTTGCTGGACCAGTTCCTGCCACCACAGGGCTAAGCAAAGAGACTCAACCTCGAGGATGAGACAGGTGGCTCTGGAGCAAGAGCTGTGGAGCGTTTTCCTCAGGGAGAAAAATTCCAAAAGTTTAGCTCACTCTTTCCTGCCATAAAGCACACTGAATGTTAACAGCTTGCTGCTGTCCAAGCTGGTGTTTTTTAAATTAAGTATTGTTAAATCCATACCATTTGGAATGATGCTTCAGACAGCCATGTCACTCGCTCTTGCTGCTGCTTTCATTTCACCTAATATATTGTGCATGGGGTTGGGAACCCGACTGACGGCAGCCCTGGCTTCTGGGGCTGCTGTGCACAGACACTTGCAGATGGCTTTAATTTAGATACCTGAAGAGGAAAAAAGGAACTCGGCCAACGCCCTGCTCAGTGCCATAAGTGGCCCTTCCCCAACTGCCTTTGCTATGGTCTATATTACCGACAGTTTTATGCTATTTTCCCTTGGCCCTAAAAAGCTCTCAGAAGTGACAAAGTTGGGAGACAGAAGTACAGATTAAAACAAGACATTTTCCACTGTCAGGCAATCCACACCCCCAGGACACCCTGGTCTACTCTCTGCTCCTTTACCTTTTCCATAGGCATCTCCTTCCACCGTAACCCCCTCCATACACAGTGCCAACTTCTGAGTCCAGGTGCATATAAAAACATGTAGACACAAATGAGATGGGTGGACTTGCAGTCAGAAGACCATGGCCCAAAGGCCAGCCCTAGCCTGTGGGTCCTTTATCATGTCAGTTCTCTGAGCCTCGATTTCATATGCATCACAAGCAGGCTACCAACTCCAAAGGTCAAAGTAATTACACATACTTTAGGAATTTGTAAAACTACTTTAGGAGATTTGTAAAACTAATCATCCTGAAAGGCAGAAAGCATATTTCGAAGATAGGACCTTTTGGTTTGTAGATTTGTGCTATCAACTTTCCCAGCTCAGCATATGTGTTACTGAAGGGCAAGGTGAACCCTCACATGCCCCATACTTTCATGACAGGTTGAAAAGTGGGCATTGAAAGCTCTTCAATCGATACAGCACTTCGGGAGCAACCAAAGTTGAGCAACTTGCTTTTTTCACTTCTTTTGGAGGTCTCCTGCCAACATGGATATTGGCAGATCTGCCTGTGTTCACGTGTCTGTTATGACTTCATCAGGTAGGTTTTCATAATGAAAGGGAAGAAAATTTACTGAAGTGCCTTCCGCCTTCACTGCATAGACTTTTGGGTTATCAGATCTGCAAAGGAAAAGCTTGCAGTGACACACCCATGGAAGTAAAGCTAAATTGGCTATTTTATTCTTTCAAAAATGAATGATTTCCTTAGCAGATAAGAAAGAAACGTATCCTTGTTTCACACTTAACACTTTTCTAAAACCGTAATAAAATCCTCCTTTGGCTTGCCAGGGATTAAGTGGTCTCCGAAGCTGCTTGGCCTTCCCTTTTCTGAGACTGTGCGGTCACTCCAAAGCTCATTAGTACTTTCTCAAGCTGGACTGGACCTTAGTGGTCAACCTGCCCAATGCTCTGGCCACAGCAGATGGGGAAGGAGGTGTCAAGGCGAGGAGGAAGCAGAGGCTGTTCACTGAAGAAGGGTTAACTGAGGTTTTATTCATCCTTTCTTCTCTTTCCACAGTTAAAGCAGATAGTTAAAGAGTTGGCAAAGTGTCAAAACCAAGCAGTGTGTGACCCCAAATTTCAGCTGCCCTCATCCCAAAGTCTTTGTTAAGGGCTTCTTTTTAAACTAGGGAATCTAAATTTCTAATTGTACCTTTAGAACTCACAAACCTTGAAGGTTTCAAATTGACACTTCACAAAGAAGGAACTTGCCTTTCTTTTTCAAATCAAGTCCTTACTACACAAAATAACTAATGCCATTGTTAGCTTTAGTGAGGAACCTTCAAAACTATCTGTAGTATTCTTTTTCCAAGTCAAAGGGAAAAAAAAAAAAAGAACTTTATGAGCTAGGAAGAGAGAGCTTGCACAGAATACGTTTAAAGGGCACATTCAGTCGTTTCTGACTACAGCTAGCTCCCTTTATGGCATATGTTCTATATTGACGGAGATTAAGTTTCTCTCCTGAATGGAACAATACAGGGTCACAGGGAGCTACTGTACTTTCCAGAGCAACAGACACCAGCCCAGGCAAAAGGCAGACAGAAACGCTCTGACAGAGTACTAACCAGGTTAGCCCACAGCCCAGCCCTGGGTCCTGCGCTCCAGCCTCTCTGCATCCCTCAGGCTCTGCTGCCGGCTCTCCTAGGTTTTCTGTCCATTTCTCCCCTTTCTATTCACACTGTTACACTTTCCCTGTCCCCCCTGGCTTTGTTATTCAGCATGTCTGATTAGCAGGAGCCTGATTGGCTGGCTGCCTGCTCAAGAGAGATTCCATTCAGCTTACCCCCCACCCATCCACCCACCCACCCGCGCTCAGGAAATGTGAGCGGGGCTGATGGAAGCTGATAGGCAGGGCCGGAGTGTGAGCCCCAGCACTGGATGTGACAGCAGGCAGAGGAGCACTTAGCAGCTTTTGCAGTGTCCGATTCGGATTCCGGCAAGGATCCAAGCATGGAGAGCTGCCGTCGGGTAACTCCTGGCACACTGCTGCGCCTTCTGGCGTTCCTACTCCTGGTAAATGCCTTTTCATTTCAATACGTTGTTATTGCCATTTGGTCTGGGTACTGTTAGAGGGGTTCCCTCTCTCTCTCTCTCTCTCTCTCTCTCTCTCTCTCTCTCTCTCTCTCTCTGTCTCTGTGTGTGTGTGGGGGGGGCGTCTGTGGGTCTGTGGGTCTGTGTGGATTTGATCTTAAAACTCCAGGTAAAATAATTTGCATGATTTACAAAACACAACAAACAAAATACAACTGAGCTCCTTCTAGAACTTTAACCCCAACTTTCCCAGCAAAATAAAGTGTACAAGCCTTTCTGGAATCAGTTACAGGTATATAATAATACAGATAGTGAGATATGAGCTGCTGGATATACTGGATTGTGTTTGTACTGAAAGCTGTATAAATAGCTGTGTGCATGCTTTAAATTTGGGTAGCAGACATCCTGAGATCAAAACTCGCTGCGTTGTTTCCGAACAACAAGGACAGGCTGCAAGGAGCTTGCCCCAACTCCCCCAGTGACTTGTGTGAATTAATTTCCTCTGTACACAAGGACTACCGAACCAGGTGAAGGGAATGAGAGCCCTGCTTGCCGCCAGCCGAGATTATAGCTCATAATTACCACACGTCATTTATGGATACAAGTTAATGCCAGTTTTTATGAATTGAAGATCACAGTCTTTGATCTCAGGTCTACTTCGGAAGGTGAGAAAAAAAAAAGAATGATGATTTCTTGTCCTGCTGCTTCCTTCTGTCACGGTGATAAGATGCTCTGCTTATGAACATCAGCACGCATTGCATTTTTGACTCAAAGTAAATGTTCCATTGTGACTCATACTTGGTTTTATGGGCAGAAAATGAACATTTACTGTCCAAAAAAAATCTACAGTCTAAATAGCAATAGCAATGCACATTTTTTAAACCAGAGTGTTCTGGGCAGGCAGTTTAGTAAACCTCATCTGAAGGTTTGGTTCCAAAATCCACTCGCATTGATTCCAAACAAACGTGACTGACTGCAGCTCTCCTTGTCACTGTTGGCACATACCAGGACTTCCTCCCTCCAACGGTAACGAGGTAAAAATGCCACCAGTGTGTAAGCCTCACTGCTTTGTGGATGGGAAAGGAATATTTGATTCTGAGATTGGATCAGCACTAGAGAAGGAGAAGGTAAGGAAGCCCATTTGGTAGGAATCAGAGAACTGTAGGAGAATGCGCGGGATGCGGTGTTTTATACATGATCACATCTTATATTTCCACCATTGTAGGTTAAAAGGTGTGCGTGCGTGTGCGAGTGTGTGTGCGTGTGTGTGTGCGTGCGTGTGTGTGCGTGCGTGCGCGAGTGTGTGCGTGTGTGTGCGTGCGTGTGTGTGCATGTCTGTGCGCGTGTGTGTGCGCGTCTGCGTGTGTGTGTGTGTGTGTGTGTGTGTGTGTGAGGGCGTGTGTGTGAGGGCGTGTGCGCGCCTGTGCGTGCGCGAGTGTGTTTGTGTATGTGTGAGTGTGTGTGTGTGTGTGTGTATGTGTATATAATGCTGCTTTACAAATAAAAATATAGTTTCAATTTTTCATGCAAATTTGAAAGAAAACTAAAATTGAAATCAGACTAGACTGCTTCAACTACCCAGAGGAATCAAAGGAACAGCCTGCTAGGTGTACGTCAGGACATGTGGAGTCAGAGGTTTAGAAAACGTGTCCCATTTTCTCCATGGGGATGTGTTACTTGTATAGGCCATTAATTAGTCTCATCTTTTCTTCTTTGTGGATTTTTTTTGTTTGTTTGTTTTTGAGACAGGGTCTCCCTGTAGCCCCAGCTATCCTGGAACTCGCTGTGTAGACCAGGCTGGCCTTGAACTCAGAAAGATCCACCTGCCTCTGCCTCCCAAGTGCTGGGACTACAGGCTTGCGCCACAATGCCCGGCTTCCTTTGTGATTGTTTTTAATGTTACTTTCCCCCATTGAATTGCATTATAAAGCAAATTGCTTATTTCAAAAGGATTTAACGTGCCTGAATAACAATAATAATGTTATGAAATCGTTCATTTGTTGTATGCCCATGTTGAATTGATCATGAATTTGAAGATAATGCTAGAAAGGAGAGAACTGGCTGCTGAATGCCTTGAGTTATGTTAGTACTAGCTGTCATGTAGTATGTGCCCGAAGTGTGTGCCTACTTGTGTGAAAAGCATGCTAATGAATCCTTGTGTAGTAACCTTGTAAACCAGATATTTTTAAGGCCATTTTACAAATGAGGAAACAAGTCTGTATTTGCTTTGTACTGTGCTCGTCAAATAATCAGCAATGATGTAGGGTGGCCTGTTCTCTTTGTTGGGAATAATTACGCTTTCTATATCATCTAGATCATTAAAGATGAGTACAATATGATGGACACTCATTATATCTGCTCATTAACTGCCTTCTTTAGCTTTGTAGCCAAAATGAAGTATTGGCTTAAGAGAAAGTGAACTTTAGCCCTGACCTGTAGTTGACTTAAAACCAGAAGTGTGATATCATCAACTCAACTTTCAGGCTCAACAGAGAAATTGATTTAGAGGATTGGTTGTTTCTATAGTTCTTTCATGCACTAAAAGATTCTATCTAGTACTAAAATTAACTTGAGCAATCTCGAAAGGTCTCTTTACCTCAGTTGGAGGCATCCTGTCTCTGTAGTGGAAAACTTAGGTTTCGCCCTCATTTCATTGACAGCTAAATCATCTGTATCAGAACTTGATTCTTGACTGTGTGCAAACACTGAATGCTCTCAGCCTCGTGTTCTCATCAGTCTTTCCTCCTAGAACATTATTCCTGAGACATGAGGCCATGTGTCATTTGTATCTATCTGAGGTCACTGACCATGTTTTAATGCATACTAAACATGTCACCAAAGACTCCTCGCTTACTAGATGCAGCTAGAGAACAGCACTGATCCAGGTTTCATCTTGATATTCAGGTCATGTTAAGGCACATGGCATAACTTCCCGGTTCTCCACACTCAGTTTCCCCTTTTCATTCCTCTCCTCTGTTTCAATTGTTTAGATAAGAAGCAATGTGGCAAAACCCATGACCGGCCATTGACACACGTGTCTGTCTATACTTGAAGTCAAATCACTTCTTGTCAGAGCAGCATTTACTCAAGTTTGCATCTGCTCTTTGTTTCTTTTAAGTGGTTTAAGCTCTTTTTCCTGCTATTATGTGAGTTGCAAGAGTAACACTAGGAATTCTAATAAAGTACATGTGTTTTTCTGTTGAATTTCTTTTTCTTCTCTACACAAATTTATACGTGGAAACTAGTCAAATACAATAGCCCATTCCCTTCAGTTCCTTTGGCAATCTCCTCCACTATTATCTAAGTGAATCTATCTTGGATTGCAAGAAGCACCATTAGCTTGTGGAATGAATGTTAAATCCCTTATTACAACAGATTGTGGCTTGTTCCAACTGTGTGTGTGTGGGTGTGTGTGTGTGTGTGTGTGTGTGTGTGTGTGTGTGTGTATGATGTGTATCTGGGCACATGTGCAAGCTCTTTTCAATAGCTGGTCACTCTCAACCTGCTCCTTGTTCCCATACCTGCACATCCATCTATAAATCAGGATTTCCCTTGTTTTCCTATAGGGCATAATAAGATATTTATTATACAAATATTTTCATTGTATTTTGGTGAGGTTTCTTGTCTTCTGTGGGCTCTTCTTTCTAGTGGTTTTGTGTGTTCAGAACCATATCCTGATCCCAAATATTATTTACATGTAAACCAGGTGTATCACTTCATATTAGAATGTCCAATAGTGGTCACTAGTGGACTACTGAAGAATCCTGCTATGCCAGGAAAGTTTTCCATTCAAAGAGTTTGTGGATATTGCAGACTTTTAAGACAAAGAGGGAATAGCCGAGCACATGTCTGTCCTTTTACGTGATGGTTAATCATGTTGCTGCCCTTTAGAAATGCCTGAAGAGACGAAAGCAGCCCCCCTGCACCCTAAGGTCCGGTAGTGCTGTGAGCTCCTTGTGGAGCAAAGTTCGTTCTTAAGCTCAAAAGTTAGAGTTTATGCAACTTTTTAGTAGTGTAATATGTTACCCATCCTTTTTAAAAATTTAGTTTATTTTAGTGGATTTTACATAGGAACTATGTTAGGATGAGACAAGCTCTGGTGTTTTGATTCTTTCCTTTATTATGATTTAATCAAACCATAATTTTAAACTCTTGTAGGGAAGGCTGCATTTCCTACAGCGACCAGAGGCTGCCCTTTATGTGCAAACATCAGACCTCCTTGTGACCTTAACTGAGAAAGAAGGGCTGATAAGGGTCCAAAAGAGTTCATCGAGTGATGTCCTAATTCTTCTCATTTCTGTTTTCTGACTGTGTTTGTGTAGTCCAACTTCTTTGGTCAGATGGCAGCTCTGCTTTTAATTTGTGTATCTCTCAGGTTCCAGAAATGACACTTTCTCCAATTTAGTTATTTAAGTTCCGTTCTGCCCTTCCCTCAGTAAAGGCACTCTACTGTTTCTGAGGTCTCATGAGTGGAATGACCTCAGAGCGACCTCCTCCTAGCATGAGGACAGAGTCTTTTCTTGAGTGAGTGCATTCCTTGAATCACCATGAATAACCTGCTGGCTGAGTGTGCTGAGATAATCACAGGAAAATGTGCCTAAACCAAGTTTCAGGCTTGCCATGGCTGCTAATTTCCTTCAGAAAGCTGCCTTTGAGAAGTGCGTTTTTACCAGAATGAGACAAATTCATGTCATTTTCTGTCCACCTCATAAAAACCATACCATGTGGTTAAGTTTTGGCTTGATTGGCAGCACTGGCTCGTGAGCAGCTTAAGACTGGCATACCAGAGGTGATGTAAGTCCTAACGGATCCTAATTGAAATAGGCCAGCACAGCTGTGTGAGGAGCCTGCCTGCTAGCTGGGTAAGCTGTTGCTATCAACCCCTTCTTTCCATGAGTTCAAAAATAAATGACTAAATCTCCCCAATTCCCGAACTTCAAAATGAAAGCCTGCATTGAATAAAGCTCAACTGTTCTGCCCCT